TTGCACTCATTGTGGTTTTGTTTCTTGTATACAGATTATTTTTTCTTGTATACAGATTATTTTTTCTTGTATACAGATTATTTTTAGCTTTGAATTAAAGTTTAGCTTTGATTTAAAGCTTTAATTTAAAGTGTAATGCTTGTTTTGTGATTTGTACATCTGTGGTTTAGAATAATGTTGAACCAAAGGCTGTGTCTCTTCTTTAAACATGTTTGAGGGAAATATGAGAGATTCAATAATTTTGTCTTTTTATAATTTTTCAGTTGAATTAACTTTAATTAACAGATTATTTAATAAAGTCAAAGGGAACACAGGATTTCACGATAAAGCCGGCACCGTTTATTTATTTTTAATCTTCACTGATAAAAAAAACTTGTATTTTATACATAAAATGTTTTGTTTTTTTAAAAAACGTTTCCATCCCTGTCCTGCCTGCCAGGGCTCGAATCTGGCCTTTGTGAGCAGGCGAGTCCGGGGCTCAGGTTCGGCCTCACGGGCTTCAATGGATCAGCAGCTCGTATGGTCCTCCGCGGTGACACCGCTCGCTCAGATTTTATAGTCGGTCACCAAACACAAAAATGCCTGGACTTCAGAATTAAACACGGCATTGTCATTATTGTTTTTAAAATCATAAAAATAGATCCAGCCGCTGCTCAGCATCAAGAGAAATTGCAAATGGCGGCTCAGTGAAAAGTTTCTGAGATCCAGTGACTCCTCCCCCTGGCAAATTAGAGTCCTGCATTCACGTTTCGGTCCGGACTCACCTCGACTGAGCTCGCTCGGTCCCACCAGAGAAGCAGGGACGAAAAGAGGTCCTGAATCAGCCTCAAATCAGCTAAAAATACTAGCTAAAGTGCAGGTGCAAAAGGATTCTTTCTGTGGCGGGCTACCTAGAATTGGGGCTTATTAGGGGCAGTGCAAAAGGGGCAATATGCGTCTCGTATGTTGGTGTAAACATGGTCTAGTGCAGGACTATTAAACTTAAATGGTCATGGGGCCACAGTTACCAAAAGTCAAAAGCTCAGGGGCTGGACAACCAACAGTTATTGTCATTAAATGTTTGTTTTATGGTTTAAAATAGTTTTTTTTTAAATGAACCCATTGGTGGGCCGAACTGAGTTCATCCGTGGGCCTGATTTGGCCCCTGGCAGCCAGTTGAATTGCCCTGGTCTAGTGCGTTATTTCCTCATATGATGCACTGTTTCCCCTACTATTATACAAGCGGGGAGCACCGCACCGTCAACAGAGCCGAGAGCCCCATCAATCGAAGCCCCCCACCCCCCAACCACCTGTCGACACTGACGTAACGCTAAACTAGCAGTGCACAATGCAGATGCACTAGCTAAAAAGCTAAAGGCAGCTTCTTCCCTCATGCTGAATCCTCACGTTGACACCCCCACTCGAAAACTGTCGGTACAAACTGTGCACTGCTGTATCTGTCTCTGCCCCCCACCCAAACTGCCAGTATAAATGTCTCCCCCCTGGACAAAAATCAAGGACAAGATGAGCGCCCCGCCATGGCAAGTTATCTAGGTGAAACACTGTGATGTCATGCTGATAAAATCTTGGCAGAGTGTCTTTCAGGTTTACATGATCATGGAGCTGGTGGGAAACTCGGCTCATGACAAATGGAGGAGTGGGATCATACCCCGGCACCTTCAGTTGTCTGTCCATGGCAACGAGGAGCTTTCAGGCAGTCTTTAGCATTATCATCCGGAGCTATATAGACCCCGATGATATACACAGCTTGAACTCACAAGGTAAATAATGTGGCTGACATTTCACAGTCAGTTATTCTAAAGCCTCGGAGCAGGAAGTGTTTATCAGAACACAGCTTTTACACCAACCTTTGTTTACGTAGAGGCATAAGACCCCCCCTCCCACACACACACACACACACACACACACACACACCCCTAGTGCCTTCCCCTGTGCCTACCCTGCGGAGGTAACTCATTTCACCTGTATTCGCGATCTCATTCTTTCAGTCTCTACCCAGAGTTCATGACCATAGGTGAGGTTAGGAACGTAGACTGACTGGTAAATAGAAAGCTTTGCCTTACAGTTCAGCTCCCTTTTCACCACAATGGACCGGTACAGAGTTTGCAATACTGCAGACGCTGCACCAATCCGTCTGTCATTCTCATACTCCATTCTTCCCTCACTCATGAACAAAACCCTGAGATACTTGAACTCCTTCACTTGAGGCAGAACCTCATCCTCGACTTGAAGAGAGCAATCCACCCCTTTCTGACTGAGGACCATGGCCTCAGATTTGGAGGTGCTGATTCTCAGCCCATGTAATATCCCTTGTGTGTGACCAACAGCCAAATAATGTGCAGTTTTTTTTACCCTATGGAGGAGGAAAAGACTGAAAATAGGTCAAACATTAAAACTCTCAGCCTTATTTGTTTACTAACAGAGACTCAAACCAGGCTAATGTAGGTCAGTCATGTGACTCAAGCTTCCTTATGTTTGTCTGCAGATTCAGCCACATGGTTTGTTTACAATAAATGCATATCCGCTTTTCAGCATTTCATATCAGTATATCTGTGAAAAATACAGGAATAAATCCTCTTAAACTGCACAGTTACTTCAGGCTAAACTTTTTATGTTTGATTTCAAACTTTTCTTTTAGCTTGATCAAGTCTAAGGTAGTTTCTCATAAAAAATGCACATTAAAGTGCACATGTATATCCTACAAATACATGTGAAAGAAAACATCTTAATACTGTATTTAACACATTTGGCATAATACACAGGATTTCACCCGTTTTGTCACAGAACTGACGTTATCTTTGGAACTTGGCACAGCCAAAGTGACGCGTGACAGAATAGGACCTGCATTCACACACAGGCTTGTTTATTGTTGTTGCTCTCTAAAATAGTAATTTCAATTCAATCTTTATTTATATAGGTTGTTAGTCTCAATGAGCCTCATCATTTACAAGAGAGACCTGTATTTAATCAATTCAATCAAATGTTTACAGATGTTTAACAACCTGTTAAAATATACCAAAATGCACAAAATTG